TTTGCTGATGGTGTTTGTCATCACTTTTCTCACTTCATGCTGCCTTTATGGAGATGCCTCCCGGCATTCCCACCACCGGGATCTTATAAGCAGGCAAGCTGCTCTCCTTCTGGGTTGAGCCTAGATCTAGGTTTTAGGGCTCTGCAAAGGAACTTGAGACACAAGCTTTCAATGGCTGGGCTGATGATTATAAAAGAGATGCATTCACCACCCCAGACTGTATTTTAAACACATTTAGTGTCCCTGAACCAGCTGGTGTCCTGGAATCGAGCATCTTCAAATTCAGCTTCCTTCTACTAAAACATCTTTATCCAGCATCAGTTTGGGGACCAATTCAGTCTCTAAATATGTTCCATCTCTAAGTATGTGGCATGTGGAAGCAAATAGCAAAGTCTCATCAAGCCATCAGCTCATCACAGGTGCAGGTGCTTTGTGTTTTACCCTGTAGTTCTAGTTTAATTACATTTGGTTCTATAGCTCTCCATGCTCTGGGTTTGGGGACAATTGTGAATGAAGGGTAACATAAAGAAAAGTTGTCTTGAGGATGATGGAGAGTCTTCAGGGCTCTATAGCCCAAATCACAGGCTTAGAGTGCACTGAACAATTTCATACCTGGAAGATCTTGAGCTATGCACATCTAAGTGACAGCAATTAGTAGAAAATACGGAGTATGAGCACTGGACATGCACTTGGTGATTTTTCTGCAGAAGAAGAATAAAGAATTTATGAAGGATGAAGCTTTAAGTAAATACAGATAGAGAAACTTATAAAGCTCTTTAATTTATTGAATGCATTGAGAGATACAACACAGGAAAAAGAAGAAAATAAAATGATTTGTGTTGAGACACCATATCAGCTACTTGGGGTTTTAATACTGTGGGCATAAAATTTATTATCCCAACCAGGACACTTTTGAGAATGAAAAGGGGCAATATTGTAATAAAACATTCCCAGGCACAAACTTGGAACATAGATCACCCGCAGCTGTCAAGTAAGTGTAATGTTCCAACTCAGAATAGGGGAGATATTTCAATAGTCACACTGCATGTATTTCTGTGTGTGACTCAAAATTTGCTGGTTGTTTACAGTTTAATTAACTGTCAATTAACTATGTAACACTCATTCCATAGCCAAGATTCAAGCCATTTCAATTAATCTTTTTGTTAGTCTACATTTTCAAGTTAAAAGAACCCCTTTCAAAAAAAGAGAAGTGTTTGTGCCTACTTAACATTTGTACTCTTTATCTTTGTGCCCTCCCAAAAATTAAAATTGATTTTACAGTTTGAAATGCTGGTTTATCAACAACTTCAGTTTTCTCTGTGCTTTGAAGACTCTGGGGTAAATTCTGGTGACCAAGTTGCTCATAAATATTTATGCAAACTACTTACATCTTTTCACCATTGAGATTTAATTCTTTGAATGTCTCCTTCAGTTGTAAAAGATTTGAGAATAAAGTTTGATTTATTTACCTGCATCATGCACAAATTGTCTAATTTGAAGTAGAGAACAATAAATATTGACATATTTTATGGGTAAAGAGGATTTACCCCAGTACTATATCCCAGAGATAATACATCTCTAAGTAAAGTAATTTGCCACAGAGATGTATAAAGACATTTAACTCAGAGATGTCACATTTGGTGCTAGCCAAAGGCATGAGACATAATCGGCAGAAAAAGCAGAATAAAGGCACATTGATCCTGACAGTACATCAGAAAAAAAAAATTTGCTCTTGGTTTTAAAAAATACTACTTCTAGGATATCAGAAAATGGAAAGATATCCCTTGTTCTTGGGTAGAAAAAAGCCAGTGAAAATGGCCATACTTTCAAAACTGTTACACAGATTCAATGGAATCCCTACCAAAATCCCAACAGCATATCTAGAAAAAACAATCCTAAAATTCATTTGGAACCAGAAGAGACATAGAATAGCAAAGGCAATTCTAGACAACAAAGGCAAAGCAGAGGGTTTCACAATCCCTGACTTTAAATTATACTACAAAGCTATGGTGATAAAAGCAGCATGGCACTGGCAAAAGAACAGACGCACCTGATGATCAGCTGAACAGACTAGAGGATGCAGAAACAACTCCAGACATATTCAGCCATGTTATCTTTGACAAAGGAGCCAAACACCTTCACTAGAAGAAAGATAAACTCTTTAATAAATGGTGCTGGAAAAAACTGGCTTTCCACATGCTGAAGATTGAACCTAGGCCCATATCTTTCACCATGCACTAATGTAAAATTGAAATGGATCAAAGATCTAAATATTAAAACAGAAAAACTAAATCTGCTGGAAGAGAGAATTGGTAGAACGCTTGAGGACATAGGAGTAGGCAAAGACTTTATGAACAAAACCCAGACCACAAGAGAAATACTACAAAGAATCAACAACTGGGACTGCATCTTATTAAAAAACTTCTGCACTGCAAGAGAAACAACCAACAGAGCTAAGAGACAACCTACAATGTGGGAAAATTTTTTAACAGCTATTCAGATAAAGGGATATTATCTAGAATATATAAAGAACTCAAAAATATCAAACCCTCCAAATTTAAAGACCCAATGCAAAAATGGGCATCTGAAATAAAAAGACACTTCTCAGATGAAGAATTAGAAACAGCAAATAAATATATGAAAAAAAATGTTCAACATCACTGGTCATTGGAGAGATGCAAATGAAAACAATGCTGAGGTTCCACATCACCCCAGAAAGAATGGCTGCTATCAAGAAATCAACCAATAATAAATGCTGGCGGGGCTGTGGGGAAAGAGGAACGCTGCTCCAGTGCTGGTGGGAGTGTAGACTGGTGCAACCACTGTGGAAATCAGTGTGGAGATTTCTCAAAGAACTAAAACTATAGGTTCCTTTTGACCCAGCTATATCTCTTCGTGGTATCTTCCCTAAAGAATTAAAAACATCATACCACAGTGATATATGTGCACCCATGTTTATAGCAGCACAGTTTGTAATAGCTAAAGCTTGGAAACAGCCCAAGTGCCCATCAAACTGATGAGTGAGTAAAGAAGATGTAGTTTTTTTATACAATGGAGTACTACTCTGCCATAAAGAAGGATGAGCTTCAGACATTTATAGCTAAATAGATGGACCTTGAGACCATAATCTTAAGTGAAATAAATCAGACACACATGCTAAAATACAACCACATTGTTTCTCTGGAGCGAGAAACTGGATGTGGAAATAAGGACTGAGATGTATAATGGATTTTGGGAAATGGAAAGAAAGTGTTCAAATGTGAAGGGGAATAAAGGAGGAGGGAGGGAGAGAGGGAGGAAGCAATAAGAAAAAAGTGAAAATAGAAGGAAAAATGGAAATAAAGCTCTTGTACATAGAGAAGGGGTTTTGGGGGAAGATGAGATAAAATAAAATTTATTAAAAAACTACTACTAGGGCCAGGGATTTAGCTCAGTGGTTCCACTACCTGCCTTGCAAGTGCAAATTCCCGAGTTTGAACCCCGGTACCAAAAACAAACAAAGAAACCAAAAAACCAAAAAACTACTACTTCTTAAATTACTCAGCTGTCAAGTATTAATTTTCTCTGCTCAGTGGATAGTTTTTCTTCCCACCTCCTTGAAAATCAATCACATACTTGAAAGAAATAAAGATAAAACTGCATGCATCTCTCCGTGTACCTATACCAAATACATAGCACATAATATGCTTACCTCTACCCCCTCTTCATAAGTTGAATGAAGCCCCTCTCCTTTTACATACATTATCAGCGTCCTGTCATTCCTGATATTGCATACATTACTCTTGCGGCATGTGCTTTTCTCTCTCCTTTCTAATCTATGTCTGATTGGCTTCTTGGTAATCTTATTCTTGAATGAGCAGAGCTAAAATAAAAGCCTAAATTTCCAAACACTTTTAGACAAATTTTATTTAGAAAAATTTTGGAAAAGTTTTAATTTTTCCCCTTAAATGCAAAAAGAAATGAGTATTTTTCTGACCTAATAATGATATCTCCTGGTTTATTTGCAGCATATTTGTGATTAAGTAGTTGCTGCATTTAACACTGTCAACTTGTATTGGATTAGTTTATGTCACTTGTAGCATCTTAGTGGCTGATTGTTTCTCTTTCCTTCTTGAGTTTTGATAGAGGAGATTATCGTGGTGGTGTAGCAGTGAATAGAACAGCCATTCTTTGATCTTCCCGAAATTAAGAGTAAACATATAAAAACCCTCCTATTCCTTCAGCAGGAAATGAAGATGGAGGGCTCTGCTTCTCACTTATCACTAGTCAAAAAGACTACAATTCTCAGGAGCAAATTGAAGAGTTCAGAGAAAAATATTTTCAAGGGTACAAGTTCCCCAGGTGCTGAAGGAATCAAACCCATCAGATCTGATGGATGTATCCACTCTGACATTTGTGGAAATGTGCAGGAAGAAATATGCACTCATCCTAAATGGCATGCCACAAAAGCCTAAAAAATAATGCCTGATTTTCCATCTTCTAACTTTGAAGGATGGAAAAACATGTGTTTTGTTCACAACTGTGTCTGAGGGAAATGTGAACTTCCAGCCAACTGCATTCACATGCAGACCCTTTTTCTGAGATTGCTTTCAAATGCAAGCATAACATATGTTGTTCTGGTTGAAAGATAAATAAATAATAAAGGGGGCTTTTTACGATGTAAATTCCTAATATATAGGATTATGGGGAAGAGTTATGTTGTTTAAACCCATGTATAGTTCTCCCCTAGGTAGATTCACAGGGATGGGGGTGAGGGGTAGCAATTTTAGCCCTCGTGTGTTTTCTATTTCCCGTGGTGCCTTCATATGTGCCAGAAGATCTCTCCTCTGTCAGGGTACAGGGAGTCAAGCTCAATAACCATACTGGGAAGAATGGCACATGTGTTGACAGAGGTTTCTTACCCAGTGTAGAGGAGATAGAAGAAATTAGATGATGAATTTTAAGGACTGAAGCATACATTGTAGTTTTTCTAAACTACCAAATATTGTGTTTTTTCCAAGGTCACCGAGAATGGGCTAGCTGTCTTTTATGACACTGAAAAGGCCTTCATGTCTAAATGAATGAGTTCTGGAATTGCTCCCATGAAGAATGGCTAACCAATTTGTCTCAACTGGCACTTGAATGCGAAATTACAAATGAAGGTCTTCTGGACTGCACTGTGGTCCTTGGAAGAGCACTGGATGATTTATTCTCACTCATTTTCTCCACTTTCCATGCTAAAATATTTTTACTTGGTCAATAAATTATGGAGGCTGACATTAACAAGATGAACTGTGGATGAAAATATGTGAGCTTGAATATTTATAAGAATGTGGAATTGATATTTTACTCTTTCTCCAACTAGCTCTGGACTTGTGGGATCTGTTAAATAAGGGCATTGGGCTCCATTCAAATTAATTTAATAAGAGATCTTGGGGACTGATGAATCATGGGTCATTCATAATGGAGAAGAGAGTACTTACTACATAGGAAGACATTTTAGTGAAAGCAAGTGACATATTTGGAACAAGTAAGATGCAGCACTCTTCCTCCCTCTTTTGCGGAGTCTTTGGCATTGGACTGCTGAACTTGATGCTGACTCAGCTGATGCATGAGTACTGATGTATCAATTGTGTCTACTTACCATCCGAAGGGTCTGCTTAGCTTTTTCCACAGGTCATTTAGGACTAGAGGAGAGGACAAAAGTTGCAAGCTGTCCCAGTGCTGGAGGCATATTCTAAAAATAAAAGGAAAGAAAGTTTAAAACACTCAGAGTCATTTAGACTGGAGAGAGCTAAAATGTTCTCCTTAGAGAAGGTTTTATGACATACAGCTAAAAGAAATCCACAGACTTTGAGAAACAAAACTACTATAAGAAGATCATCAAGAAATGAGTATTTTAGGCAGATAAAACAAAGCTTCTGTATATAAGGAGGGGAAGAAGGGTTGAAGGGAGGGATGGGAAAAAAAAGAAGAAGCAAGATGTATCATGTACAGGTACAAATTCCCTATGATGAATGTTATCATTATGTATATCTAAAATGTACCATAAATGTTTTGCTTCAAAAAAAAGAACAGTAGCACTAGTTACTAACATTTTGTCCTATGCTTTGCGCTCCACTTATTTACTAATTTAAATATCAAGACTGTGTTATTAGATAAACATGTCTTAGCTCCTTTCTGATATTTTGTTATGAACTCTGTTCTGCCTTTATAGGAATAATGATAAAGATGCCTCTGTGGGAAGCAAAGCTCCATCCCAAGTGCCTGGACAGGTGTCAGGCAGATAATTAAAAATGAGAGGAGAAAATCTTAGCTAAACACTTCGTATTATATCAATTTATACCTGAATTTTTCACAATCAGTCGTCTGGAAACTCCATGTGTTTCCCAGTCCTGAAGAGGATACTCCATTTCCTTGAATCCACTAGGATTTAAATATTGACTTTTCTAAAATATCATCCTCCAGAGCTCATGAGTACAGACATGACAGGGACTTGGAGTATTCGAGATGCTTCTGACCTCACGAACACTGAAATGAGAGATGGTGAAGCTTATTTTTAGCAGGGTATTTAGGAAGGGCCCAATGGGCTAATTTTCACCTAGGGCTGCTCATACAACCGTTGAAGATGTGCGAATAAGGTGCACCGCCAAAGTCTGTGATTGTTGTTATTTAGCACTTTATTTTAAGAGTTTTAAGCCTCATCCAGAAATATTTACTAAGCACATGTACATACAGGGCAGGCTGTCTGAGTGCCTGACAGGCTTTGTGTATCTGAGAAGTGAGTAATTTCAGCTTTCAGCCCATGAAGAGGAAAGGAGGCCACAGATTCCCCTGCCCCACTGAAGAGAACAGAGCATGGTCTGCTGAGCTATTTCCACAAAAAATATCAGAGTTCTGTAAAGCTGGAATTCAGCCTTTGGCACTCAAGTTACATCTCACCCATTACGTATTACGTATACAAACTTAAATGAAAAATAACCTGAGAAGCTTCATAATTGAAACAAGAGAGTCTGGATCAATAGAGGGCCAAAGGCCTCCCATGCTCGATAAAAGTTGCTCGGTGGTTTTCTTGGGTTTTATGGATGATTTTTTTTACTTTTCATTTCTCTACTTCATTGTATGTTGTGGAATTTGCCAAACTTAGGGAGTTACTCTGCTGGGACAGATCCCATTTTGATTCTTTGATTACAATCCGATAGAAATGTCAGGATATTAAGAAACAGGCCCGTCCAAGTGTTTATTACTTTTTCTTCTCTATCAAATTTAATCCCCTGCAATACCCAGATCTAATCCACATTTTTCTTAGTTCTCTGCAGAAATGTGGAAATCCTCCACTACTGGGATAATTTAGAGTTCCGTGTTGCTGATGCTAAAGATGGAGACAAAAGTTCTTCAGGTGTCTTTTGACAGCCAGACTCCTACAGAAGGTGCTGGGCAGGTGATCTGTACAAAAAGAAGTGAGTTGTTCTAATCACTTTATTTTTCCTGAGGAAAAATGGTGAGAGGCTGTGAAGAAATTTGATGACAACTTCCTTTTGCCTTATTTGGATGAAGGACAGCATTTTGTTCTCCTCTCTGTGTAGCTAAGAACATGTTATAGACAGAACGTTTATGTTCCCTTGAAATTTGTCTGTTGAAATTCTAACTCTCATGACACTGGCACTGGGAGGTGGGCCTTTAGGAGGGAATTAGATCATGCAGCTGGAGCCCACACAAAGGGGGTCCGTGTCCTCATGAGAGGGACCTCAGTTCCTCTCTCCTTTCTTCCCCTCATGTGAGGATACAAAGATAGGTTGCTGTCTGTACCGTCGAGGAGGATGCTTGCCAGAACCCAATCATGCTGCCACTGTGGTTTCAGGCTTTCTGCTTCTGAAGTTGTGAACAGTAACGTGTGTTTTTAAGCCACTCAGTTTATGCAATTCTGTGATAGCAGCCTGATCTGACTAAGGAAGAGCATATAAAACAAGAAAACAGAATTCAGAGGCAAAGGGCTCTGAGCAAAGAATTTGTAGACACTCTTTCCTTTTTTTCTATGTAAATAAGCACCACAAATTTAGAAGAAGGGTACCGTGACTTCAGCATACTGTCCAAATAATGGTCATAATCTAATTAGAACATGCATTGCCATGAAAAGCATAAGTCATCACATAAGGATGCCAGAGGGTTTGGGGTCTTGGGTACCCAGGCTGTTAGTCCCCTAAGTGTTTTGGCTAAAGCTCAGATATGTTCTAATAACCAACAATAGTCATTAGGAGTACAGTGTCCTTACTTTGGCATTAATTTTATTTAGCTAGTAGTTTATTTAATCGTTCTGTGTAAGCATCCTTAACACAGCACATATTGAAAAAATTTATACTTATTCAATAATTAGCCATGTGAACAAAGAATAACCACAAGTATGCATTATTATTTTTGCTAGACTCAACTGTTAATACTGCATAGAATAAAAACAAAATGTCATCAATTAAAATAATTACATTGGACTCTTCTAGAGAACAGAACTCTTTGGAAACTAGTCTGGGAAGATTAATATATGATCCTTGTAAATATAAAATAAAATAATCAATGATTGAATTAGCAAGATGCCTAATAGAGGTATCCGGCACTCATCTGCTTCTCCATGAAGAACCAAAGCAACAGGTGGAGAGTGGCATGTGGAGTTGAGGGTCAGGGGCAGAACACTGGAACCCAACAGTAGAAAATGGAAGCCTTTTAAAACCCATATACCTGGGACTGGCATAAGAGAAAAAAAATTCCAGCACCTTCAGGCCCCACTATATAGCTTCAGGAAGTGAAGTCTCCCCTTTCACTTCATCTCCCAGGGGTCCCCCAGAATGCTGTAGCCAGGAACCATCTTGAGAAAGGACAAATGGTCTGAATTTGGACTTCCCTCGGGGTCAGAAAGCCCTGCCTCTTCCGGTCTCGGGGACCCAGGACATTCTGCCTCACTGGCTCAGCAGGTAGCTGCCTCTTGAACCAGGCTTTAACACAAGCCCACTGAAAGCACTCTGCTGTGGGGAATGAGTTCCTGAACACAGGAACTGGGGTGGGGGGTCGGGGAGCCTTCCCTCTGAGACTGGGGGTGTGGCCAGTCATTGTGCTTCATGGCCCAGCTGCACAGTTCTTGCTACCTCTTTACCAGAGGCACTGTCATTAACCAGGCAGACAAGAAACGCTGAGGTTCCGTTGCTCCCCACCTGCAGAGCCAAGGTAGCCCAGGGCAGTTTTGAGCTATGGCTGTGCAGCCTATGAAGTTTTGACATCCGCTGTGTCTCTGGCTATTGCTCTGGCCCTGAGATGCACAGCCTAAGTCTAGAGAGAAAACTTGCCTGGTGCTGGCCATGTTCCTCCACGTACCTCTATGGAGAGGAATTTTACCCAATTGTAGCCAAGACCCACTCCCAATAGATCCCTGTGGGGCACAGCAAAGGAAAGGACTTGGGGGATAAAAGCAGGCCCAGCTATGCACAGCTGGGGAAGTGTGAGTATGCCCCTCCTGAGCATGGCCAGGGTGGCGGAAGAGAGGGGTAGCAAACTTTACTGCCACTGCACCTACATGAGTCCTCCGCATCGGTCACTCTTGTGCCTTGTCTGATAGCGCACTGCTGACAGGACTGTGTGTGCATGCTATGAAAGAGGTACTGTGGCTACTGCTTCCACCTCTTCTGTTGAAGCACATGGACCTGTACTGGTGTCTGATCAAAGAGCATGTGGTTCAGGCTTTCACCACGACTGGAGCAGCAAGTACTGTACAGAGACCTGTTCACGTGACAGAACCAGTAGCAGCTGTGCCCGAGGAAACTCCTGTCCCCCAACAGGGGTCACTGTCTAATGTAGGAGTAACCAGAGTTCACCTCACACACTCTGCTGTCTGTACCATACCTGCATAGCAGTGTCCCTATTCTTCCAAGACTCAGAAAGACAGTGGAGCTTTTCAACTTCAGTAAGGTAACGCGGTGCACAAGATACCTAATCACAAAGATGCTACATGGAGATACACTAAGGTAGCCAGCTGAAAATAAATTCAATATTGCATAACAAACCAATATACCAAGATATTCTAAAGTATGTAACTCTCTAATAACAGATTCCAAAGATATCAAGGTACGTGAAATGCCGGATAAAAAATTCAAAAGAATGATTTTTAAAAAATGCTCAATGAGAACCAAGGCAGTACAGATAAACAGTTAATGAAACTAGGAAGACAATGCGGGATACAAACAAGAAATTCAGCAAAGAGATAGGACTTGAAAAAGAATCATAAATCTTAGAGATGAAGAACTCA